TCACTGTGTGAATTTACCCATCCACTCTCCCATAGGAGGCTGAGCTAGCCTCTTCCATTTGTTATCTGGGGCTCTGTGTTACAGGAGGCTGTAGGGTAGGTGGAGGCAGCAGAAAGAACAGGAACTTCAACCTTTTTGCTGTCTGGCAGACTAAACTGGAGCATAGTTATTTCAAACTGGCAGTGTGAGATCTGGTTCAGGACAGAAGGGTTGGATTGAGTTCTGGGCAATAGATCAATGAAAAGGAGAGTGAAACAATATATCCTATTCAGAATAAGACTGCAAATTCTAAAATTTAGAAGTACATGAAGGATCATATTGTAATATATAAATTAATCAAATCAATATATTATACACCTTAACCTATGCCAATTATATCTCAGTAAAAAATACACAAAGAATTCTAGCACAAGAAAGCCAACAAAATCAACAGTCAAATATGAATTAACGCCAGATAATTTTAAACTAACAGCCCAGGGAAGGGAGGTGGAAGGAGGGTTCAGGATGGGGAACACGTGTAAATCCATGGCTGATTCATATCAATGTATGGCAAAAACCACTACAGTATTGTAAAGTAATTAGCCCACAACTAATATAAATAAATGAAAAAAAAAAGCCCAAATTGCTTCAAATAAGTTTAATATCCTCAAAAGAATAAAGTACTCATAGTTTGAAATACAAACTGGCAGAAATAAAAGCATAACAAGTAGATCTGGAAGAGCCAGTGAGAATGCCTAGAAATGGAAGTTTGGTCATTAAAATAAGAATACAATATATTGAGTAGCCATAGTCAAGTAGAGAATTAGTAAATTGAAATTCATTCTAGATGTGCATAAGAAAGTAAAAAGATTTTCAATAAAAAAAAGCTTTTGAAAGGCATGAAGCTTTAGCCTATATTTAACAGGCATTTCAGAGAGAGGATGGAGAAATTATATATAAAGAGATAATGGATGAGAATTTTTCAGAATTTGAGAAAATCTTCAGATCAAAAGTACACTTTTAGTACTAAACAGGATAAGTGAAAAGAAATAAATAGATTTCAAAACTGAGAAAGAAACAACCCAACTTAGCTTCCAAAAAGTCAGGCGGCTGTTAGTACAATTGTTATTACTCTTTTGAAGTAGACTTTTTATCTGCAACAATATGCAGAAAATAAAGAAGGAATGATTTGAAGTATTGTCCATGAAATGGTCAGAGGAAAAATAAGTGTTCCCTAGAATTTTACATGGTCTAAATAATCATTGGGGTTTTAAAAGGATTATATCATCTAATAAGTGCAATCTTATGAGCTCTTGGGCTTCCCAGGTAGCACTGGTGGTAAAGAATCCGCCTGCCAATGCAGGAGATGAAGGTTCAGTCCCTGGGTTGGGAAGATCCCCTGGGGAAGGAAATGGCTACCCACTCCAGTATTCTTGCCTAGGGAATTCCACAGACAGAAAAGCCTGGCGCAGTACAGTCCACGGGGTCGCAAAGAGTTGGACACACCTGAGCGTGCAAATAATCATTTCAGGGGAAAGGCAAAATAACATTTCACATGTAAAAATGACTTATCATTTACTACTAAACTACCCATATTAAAAAAACAACTACTCAAATACCTGTTTCAAGCTAATCAAATACCTGTAAGAAAGATGCAGAGTAAACTCAGGGAGAGAAGAATTGGGACAGTGAAGAGCAAGAAAGAGTTTAAATGTGTTAGTAAAGTTATTGATAGTAAAAGTAAACTGTAGAGTAGTAAGATAAGTTTCAGTGGTTAAAGATATTTTTCTTGTTCAGAGGAAGGTAGAGATGGTGAATAACCTTAGAGATGATTAGAAAGATTTAGAGGAAAGCATGTATGTTAAATTTCTAAATGGAATCATGAAAACATTAGAACTTGAATCTTGTAAATTCAAACACCAGCGTGGAGGTGGGGTGAGAGGAGAATATAGAAAATTTTATCACTCTTAACTGATGGCCAGAAAGGCAAAAGCAAGGGAAAAAAAAGGATGGTAAACCAGACAGACAGTAGGTGGCAGAAGTCTACATCAGGTAACCAGGTTAGGCTTCATGGTGTTGCCTATCATCTATATAGATGCATATTCTAAATATGCAGAAATGATTATTTTCCCTTTTTCATTACTTCCTCCTCCATAAAAATAAGACCATTGTTTTATTTTTGATAAATAATGATTCCTTGATTCCATTCTCTCTTCCAGCTCTTGCTGAAAGTCCAGATATTGCTTTCACTGTCTCATCTCGTTTTTTCACCTCCACCTGTTGCTTCCATCACTACTCTTTCTGCTGAAACTGCTGTTGTCCAAAGTTACCAGTGATCTCCACATGGCTGATCCAGTTTTCACTCCTGTCCTCATTTCCTGAAAACCTACAAATATCAACTTATAAACCAACATTATTTTAAATACAGAGGCATTGTAGGAAAGTTGTTGAAAGAGTAGACTGATAAAATGCCTTGGGTTTTAATCCTGACTGTACTTCCATGTTTAAAATACTAGCTCTGTGACCTTGAGGGAAGTTCCAGATAAGATGAAGATAATAATAGTACTTACCTCAGAGCAGCTTTGTGAGTATTAAACGAAATAGTGCATGTAAAAGACATAGTAATGTATGTGGCACATGGTAAATAGTAAATGTAAGCTATTATTAATAGGCTCAAAAATGTTATTATTTTTTAAAAGATTTAAGAAATATATTGAATATTTGATACATAAAGAGATAAAAAAACATTACCACAATAAGTGCATAATTTCAACAACTTAGTTCAGTTATTATTGCATGAGGATATAATAAGGGAAGATACTTTAAGGATGAGGTTTTTATTACAAAATACTTAATACATATATAAGAATATATGTAATCAACGCCTATAATTTACCACCTAACCTTGTAATTTACCACCTAACCTAACCTTGCAATCTTGATCACATTTTTGTTATCCTTAATACTTCTTTTCATAGTTCCTTTCACCCTTTGTATCCATGTGACTGTCCTGAATTTTGTGTTTCAATCTCTTGAGTAAAAAAAAAGGGATAGGTTTAGACAATTGTATATGTCCTTAATTGTTTAGTTTAGCTTATTTTTCTACTTTATTGTGATAGTTTATTGTATGTATTCTTCTGTGATTTACTTTTCCATTAAAATTTTTTGCCATGATTTATCTTAATTGTATATGTGTCTAGTTCATTAATTTTCATTGAGGTAGTTACAGCATGCACTTTTGGGGGCTGTTGTGTGAATTAAATGAGTCGATGCACGTTGAGCGCTCACATAGTGCTTGCGGTTACCTTAACAGTAAAGGTGCACAGAACGATAGCCATCATGGAGTTCGCGCCTCTTTACTGGCGCACAGACTGCTGCTGGATGAATGTAACGTGGCTTCTTTGCTCTCATCCCTCTGGACATTCGGGCTGTTTGCAGTTTGAAACAACAGAACGCAGTACTGCTTCGAATGTTCATCTTTTTATACCCTTGTACAAGTTTCTATGTGCCAAGTATGTTGACCTAGAAATAGAATTGCTAAGTTGTAGGTCATGCTTGTGTTCAGCTACATTAGATAATGCCAGTTTGTTTATCAAGATTATTGTGCCTGTTTGTATTTCAGCCAGTAGTGTATGCGTTACCATTTCTCCATACCCTTGCCAACACTAGGTGTTATCATATGTCTCATGCTTCATAATCCCATGGTTGCTAAATGGCATCTTGTGATTTCATTTGGATTCTGTTAATAATGAGGCTGCCGTCTCCTCATATGTTTATTGGTTATTTGTGTTTCCTTTCCAGTGGAAGTCTGTTCTTGTATTTTGCCCTTTTCTGTTTTTCCTAACGGGCTGTCTTTTTCTTAACACATTTGGAGGAATTCTTAAATATTCTTCATACTTAGCCTTTGTTGATTGTATTTGTTGGAAATACAGTCGCCCAGTTTGAAGCTTCCTTTTCTGTATATTGTTGCCTATTAATCTTGCGTGAGTGCTAAGTTACCTCAGTTGTGTCCCACTCTTTGCAACCCTGCGGACTGTAGCCCACCAGGCTCTTCTGTCCATGGGATTTCCCAGGCAAGAATACTGGAGTGGGTTGCCATGTCCTCCTCCAGGGGATCTTCCCAACCCAGAAATTGAACCTTCATCCCTTGCGTCTCCAGCATTGGCAGGTGGGTTCTTTACCACTAGTGCCACCGAATTATATAAATGCCTTAGTCTTTAATCATTAATTTTTCTGTAATTGATTGCTTATGGTATGGGGAGATTACAGTTTCATTTTATTAAATGTTTTTTGAAGTGGGGGAGAGTTATACCGTTTTCCAATAACCATTTAGTACTCATCCTTTCTTCATTGAATAGCATCTCTAGAACAGTTTGGGGGTGGAAAAATCAACATGTGCCCTTGTTTTGTTCCTTGTTTTAAAGGGATGCATCTAAATTTTTACCATTGAATACGGTATTTGTTACAGGTTTGCTTTACCCTGTAATGAAATTCCTTTTGTCCTAATTTTTCTTAAAAAGGTTTGAAACTTGCATGGTGCTGAATTTTATTAAGTGCTTTTTGGTTAGCTCCTGAAATGATTCTGTAGTTACTTTCCTTCAATCTGTTAATGAGAGGAATTAATAGATTTTCTAATGTTTAACTGGGCTTCCCTGGGAGCTCAGTGGTTAAGAACCCTCCCTACCAATGCAGAAGATGCAGGTTCAATCCCTGGGTCAGGAAGACCCTCAGGCGAAGGAAATGGCAGTCTGCTCCAGAATTCTTGCCTGGGAGATCCTGTGGACAGAGGAGCCTGGCGGGCTGCAGTCCATGGGGTTGCAGAAGAGTCAGACGTGACTCAGCAACTAAACAACAGCAACAATGTTTAACTACTCTTTCATCCTAAGGTAAATCCTAGGATTTGTCTTGGTCTGTGATATATTATCTTTCTTACACATTGCCAGATTGTTTTAGCAAATGTTCATTAAGTTTATAAGGTTTATATGAAAACAACTACTTAAAATAACTTTTAATCTTCACAGCAGAAAATATGGGTGCAGAACTGAAAGCTCCAATTATTAAGCAAGAACCTCTCCAAGTAAGAGGTAAATATATTTTATTCTATTTTTTATTATAATGGTGTTTTGAATTAAATATATAAAATTAGTTTGTATAGATATCTTTATAGTTATAAAGGTATATTCATTTTTACTTTTTAAAAAATATATTGACCATAAGGATTTATTCTATTTATAAACTAATTTTCTACTGAAATTTGCATTCTGATCATAAATTTTGTGGTAATTGTTATTTCAAAAGCCCAAAGGAATAAAGCAAATAAAAATTATCATTTTTAGAAAAGTAATTCTGTACATTTTAGAAAAGTAAAGAACTAGAAGCTAATACCATATTGAAATCGAGATAGTTTGGACATTCTTGATTTCCATTTCTAGGAGTGATTAAGTAATGGAGGAATTCTTGTTTGCACTTCTCGTCTTTATAATTGGGCTATGGCTCCCATGTCCAAAGTAGCATATTTCATGGAGGTACTAATTCTGTGAGTAGGATCACCATGGCTTCAGCGTCAGACAAAAGTAAATTCAGTTTGTAGCTTTAGCGTGTGCCAGCTTTATGGCTTTGGGCAGTTTACTTGATTTTTCTGAGTCGTAGTTTTCTCCTCTCTGGTGGTGCTGAGAATGGAACTTCTTTTTTGTAGGGTAACTGTGGAGATGATACATACTGTACAGTCACAGTTAAGATTACTTAATGTTGTGTTGCCATCAATAATCTAGGCCGGGATAGATCAACAGGGATTTCTAGATACTTAAAAGAAATTATTAAAAAGTAATTTAAAAAAACTAATCTTTTTGAAGAGAGATGTATTTCTCCTCTCTGAGAAGCTTATTTGAATTTAATATTTTAGGATTATTTAGAATAAGGTAGTTTAGAGACTTAATGCAAAAGGAAACCTGAACTTCCTTATATTCTTTTTTCAAATAAAGTTTTGATTTTTATATTGAACTGTAGTTTTGAAATGTTCTTATTAACTATGATTTGTGAATTTTGACTTCCACACTTTTTGTTTTAAGAGTCTTTTTACCTTCTTCAGTGGTGAATAATTTAGTCTTCATTTATTCTTTCAATCTGCAAGTACAACAGAAGACTTAGTCGTTACTGGATAGGAGAATAGAATGTGCAGTAACTTGGCAACAACTTGAAACAGAACACAGGAGTTCCTGCTGTTTTCCTCCTGCTTTCCCAAGATATGCCTATGTTATCATCTATATCATGTGACTGAAAGTCTTAACTTTATAAAAATGAACAAACCAACGTTGGCTGTAATTTCTTTTTTTTTGGCTGTAATTTTTAATCCACAGAGTGTAACTGATGCCAAGTTGGTATTTTGTTATTGATGTCTCATTTTTTATGAACAGTTTGATACTTGATAATAGGGGAATAATTTAATAGAAGGCAGTGTTTTGCCTATAATCTATAATTAACTTCCTATAACTTTTAACTGATAAAAATGTTCCTTATATATATTTCAGCTTTGTTACTTTATGTGAAATCGTTCAGTGAATTTCAGACTTTTTTGACTGCAATCCACATAGGAAGTACTAATGATTTAGTATATATATAGATTATTATATGTAGCTGAAACAAGTCTTCACAAAAAGTGCTGATTCTTCATTATATGCAATACTCTTTGATTACTTTCTGTTTTTTTTTTTTTAGGCTGGTTTCACCAGTGTTTGTAAAACACTGAACCTGCATGTAATTTTTTAATTGAAACTTCAGTTCATTTTCACTTAGACTTTCCAGGCAATTTAAATTGTACTAGTATGATTTAACAGACCAGCAATACCTTTGCACGGTGTCCTTAGACAAAGAATTGATCTTTGGCATCAGTCGGGAAGATCCCCTGGAGGAGAGCATGGCTACCCACTCTAGTATTCTTGTCTGAAGAATCCCATGGACAGAGGAATCTGGTGGGCTGCAGTTCATAGGGTCACAAAGAGTCAGACATGACTGAAGAGACTTAGCATGCAAGCACGCACTGATGAACTCTGGAGTTAAAAGCTGGGTGGTTGCAAGTTTAATTCTGTCCTGTTCTGTACTTGAAGTAGACTTGATTTTCCCCTATGCCCTCCAGCGCATCAGGAAACACCTGTCTTCTATGGAACTCACTAGTAAAAGTAGCACATGTTCATCTTGAAATGTGGCTTCCAGTGTGCATACTTAGTCTGTTTCCTTTTGTTTTTGGTTTTAGTCAAAGCAGTTCTTAAAAAGAGGGAATATGGACCAAAGTATACTCAGAATAATTTCATCACTGGAGTCAGAGCAATGAATGAGTTCTGCCTCAAATCCAGGTACGGTAATTTTTTTTTTAATTTAGTGGTTTGTTCTATCTAATCTAAATAACCAGTTACTTCCTAGAATTTAACAGCTACCATCTATGTGGAAACTTTACTATGGTTCCTTCCTAAATTGAAGAAATATTTTTATTCAGTTAAGAGTATTTTTTAAAAATGTTAAAATTGTTAGCTTATTAAACCGAAGACTGCTCCAGCTTGAGCAAATCACTCTTTCTTGGCTCCTTTAACTCAAAAAAGCAGGTTCTTCAAAAATCTATGTGTCATACAAGAACCTTAGGAGTTCTATTGTTAATATGTAGCAGAATTATCAATAAGAGTATTTGTATGTTAATATAGCTTTAAAATTTGGGGGTTTTTTGGTAGAGCAGTTTTATGTTTATGTTCACATTTCAGCTGTGGTTTGTGTTGAGTGTAAATTATTTTGCTTCTTTCTGGTATCTTATTATTTTCTTCTAACTGAAGAGATTTATTGAGGTATATTTTTTACAAATGTTTTCCCCTCTTTTGTGTGTTTATCTAGGAAGGCTATATATTTAAGTGGAAGATTTCTTGGCAATTTAGACATCAGATGATCTAGGCTCTCCCTCCACCACCCCCACCATGGTACACCTTCTAGAGTATAAAGTTAAAGTCCCTTAGTCATGTCTGACTCTCTGCGATCCCATGGATGAGTAAAGTAGGTTAGGTATAGCTGTCTCCATATTATAGGCCAGGAAATATGGAAAGATGTTAGCAATGACCTGGTTCATTTAGCGAGTCAGTGACAGAGCGGGAACCAGAACACGTATCTTTTGCTACCTGATCTAGACTTTTATTTTTTTATTTTTTGGCTGCAGCACACGGCTTACAACATTTTAGTTCCCTGGCCAGGGATTGATCCTAGGCCACAGCAAGAAAGCTGGGATCCTAACCACTAGGCCACTACGGAATCCCTCAAATTTTTGTTTATAGGTCTTTTGTTGCTATTACAAAATTTCCTTAGGAAGACCAGTGATCAAATTTAGAAAGACTTTAGCAGAGTGACTTGATGCATGTATCAGCCTTTCAGAATTTAAGAGAAAGGAAAATAGTTAAATAGCATGAAATTGACATACTCTTTATAAATTGATACCTATGAATGATATTACCACTTAGTATTAGTCTGGACATGAGTTTGAGCAAACTCAGGGAGATAGTGAAGGACAGGGAAGCTTGGCATGCTGCAGTTCATGGGCTTGCAAAGAGTTGGATACGACTTAGTGGCTGAACAATGACAGTTAATCTGGATGTAAACAAATGACTATAAATATTAAGTTTACATTCTCAAATAGAGGAGTAATACTCTAATCTGTGTTCTTTCTACTTTTTTTTCTTTATACATCAGATATTGCAGTGCTGTATCCATAGCAGATAAAGAACAAGCACTGATAAAGCATTTGACTCACTACATACTATATTATGGTATCTATATTGAGTCAAGAGTAATTCTTAGTTTTTCAACTCTTTCTAAACCACTTTTAAGTACAAAATGTCATCTTTAAATTGATTTTTATAGGCTATCCAGCTTTAGCTATTAAAATAAGGCTTAGTTAATGGTTTTTATCTGCCCTTAATAATCCTGAACTATAGGAACCTTCTCTGAATAAATTCAACATATTTCTTTCTTCAGTGATCTGGAACAACTACGAAAAATCAGACGACGAAGTCCTCATGAAGATACCGAGTCCTTTACTGTATACTTGAGATCAGATGTGGAGGCAAAGTAAGAACATAGTTCTTTTAGGATAAAATACAAGCTGAATTTGGAATTAATAGAAACCCATTTAGACAGACTCAGAATTTTTAAAATGATATGTTTTAAAAGCAGAATATATACGTATTTTTTAAAGTATTTACTTTTATTTATTTATTTGGCCGTACCAGGTCTTAATTGTGACACGCAGGATCTTTGATTTGCTTTGCGACATGTGGGTTCTTTAGTTGTAGCATCCAGAATCTTTAGTTGCAGCATGTGAACTCTTTAGTTGCGGCATATGAGCTCTTTGTTGCAGCATGAGGGATCTAGTTCCCCAACCAGGGATCAAACCTAGGCCCCCTGCATTGGGAGCACACGGAGTCTTAGCTGTTGGACCACCAGGAAAATCCAAAAGCAGAATATTTTTACATTTGCAGATTGGTTTGAGAGTTACTAGTATGTATTAATTAGAAAAAAAAAAAATCAGGTTTTCTTTTTTAGAAAATTTGCTGTTGAATTTATTCTTATTGTGTAGATTTAATTTAGAAAAGTTTCTTAAGTGCTTTATATTTTTCCTAAAGGACCTATGGTTTGTTAAATTTTCATATAGTTTTAGTTATCTAGATTTAAATATGATTTTCATGAAGTCATTAAAATTGTATTACTGAATGGTGGCCATGTGTATGTACATAGATCTTTGGAAGTTTGGGGAAGCCCTGAAGCTCTTGCCAGAGAGAAAAAACTTCGTAAGGAAGCAGAAATAGAATATAGAGAAAGTAAGTATATTCAGTTCAAAGCTGAGTTAACTGAAAAGCAGCTTGTAAATGAGACCTGCGTCTGTAATAACGATGTCCTCACCCAGTGGTTGCCGCCCTCTTGTGTTTGGCTCTGTTGGTTCTAGCAAATGCCCGTTTTCATTTTGGGTTTAATTATTTTATAAGAACAGTATCTATTTGTTTTCCTCTCTATAGCTTTTTAAAGATTGTGAGAGCAAGCAAAGTTAATTTGTCATTTCTGTAAGACATATGAATATTAAAACAGGGTCTGATTTGAAGATTGTACCTGTTCTAAAAGTGAATCCTAGTTTCTAAGGGGTTTTGGCCTCTCAGAAGAAGCAAACAGCTGTTTTAGTATCTTTATATTCACAGATAAGCTAAAGAGACCTGTACTTAAATCTACAGGAATGAAATGTTTACTTTCTTTTTTTTTTACTTACTTTTTACTGAGGTCACATTGGTTTACCTAACATTATATGTTCTATTTCTGTTTACCCTACAACTTGATCACCACCAAAAATTTAGTTTACATCTGGTACCACACAGTTGATCCATTTTACTTATTTTTCCCTCAACCCTGCCCCTTCCTCTCCAGTAACCACTACCCTGCCCCAGATTAGTAATCAGCATTTATAATAGAAGCCCCTTTTCCTCTTAACAGGAAATAAAATTTAGAGACCTGTGGGCATTAGAAGTACTCAATTTTTTTAAATAGGTTGATATGTTTTTGAGGTATTTTCAGTGGACAGAGTTAGGAAATACTTTTTGTTTCTTAAGAGAAAATATGTAGGTTATTTTGATAAGCTTACTCCGCCCCCCCCCCCCGACTTTTTTCCTTTTGTATGTCTTACTCTGAAAATCTTATTTCTTAATTCATTAACATCATTAATTACATTTTTTATTTGTTCTTATACGTATGTACACACACATATAGAATACAGTGTTGTCAGTCTCAGTATTCCTGCTAGTAAGGTGATTTAAGATTTCTGTTTTTCTTTTTGTCTTTACTGAATATCTCACTGGGGATATACAGTCAAATGCCTACGTTTTAAAGTCACTTGTAAAAAAAAAAAAATAAAGTCACTTGTAATTTCTCACTGTATGGATAAACCATCTACTAGATATAAAAATAGGTTCGTTTGTTTCGTTTTGCTTCTGATTTTAAGAAATTTGATTTATTTTTATTTTATAATTTTGTAAAACATTTATATGGTTCCAAAGTCACCTCAAATACTTTAAAGACAAAATACTTTAGAGAAGTTTAGTTTCCATCCCTGTCTTCCCCACCCTTCTCCCTCCCTCTAGCATAGGTGATTGTTTAAAAAACTAGTTTGAGTGTTATTTTTACTAAAGTAGCATATATACTGGTAGTTTAGACCCTCCTTTTCATAAATAAGGCATAGTCTATGTCTGTCTGTGCTTGTGTTTTTAGCTTGATTATATGTCCCAGAGAACATTCCATAGCAGGAAATAGAGAGGTTTCTTCATTTCTTTTATAATACTCCATTTTGGAGGGTGCACCATAGTTTATTCAGTCATTTTCACCTAGGTCATTTCCAGTCTTTTACTGTTAAAATGATGATGCTGTGAATAGCCTTGTACATATATTAGAGGACATACTTAAAGTACAGAATTTGAGAAAGCACACTAATAAAATATTTTTTCCTTATTTTTAAACTTTGAGCTGAAGGTGGAGGATTGGTTCTTTTATCAGGCTTAAATAACTTATCTTGCCGCCCTGAAACTGTACTTGTCTGACAGTTCTCCTGTCCCTCTAGCCCCTGGTAACTGCTCTTCTGTTTTTGTGACTCTGCCTCCTATAGATACCACATATAAATGGAGTCATACAGTGTTTGTCTTTTTGACTGAGTTACCTCACTTAGCATAATGTCCTCAAGGTTCATCCGTGTGACAGGATTTCCACTGTATTTATATACCACATTGTTCAGCATTTATTTGTCCATGGAGTTTTGGTTGCTTTCACTTGCTCATTGTGAATGGTGCTACTATAAATTAGGGTGTGAAAATAACCTCTTTGAGACAGTGCCTTCATTTTTTTTTGGATATATACCCAGAAGTGGTATTACTAAATCATATGGCAGTGTTTAATTTTTTGAGGAACCTCTATATTATTTTCCATAGCAGTTGCAGTGTTTTAGAATCCTACCAGTGCAGTCAGGGTCTCCAATTTTTCTGCTTTCCTTGCTCACACTTGTTATTTTCTCTTTCCCTTTGTTTTTGTTTTGTGGTAGTCGCCATTCTAATGGCTGTGAAGTGATACCTCATTGTGGTTTTGATTTGCATTTCTCTGATGATTAGTGATCTGAGCATCTTTTCATATGCTTATTGGCTAGCCGTATATCATCTTTGGAGAAAAGTCTATCCACGTCCTTAGCCCATTTTTTAATCAAGTTGCAAATTCAGATTTCTTACCATCACTTGATATTTTTGTTTGTATCTGGGAGAAGACTGTTTAACATAGTCTTAGAATAATTGTGTTAATCTAAAATGTGAAAGGATAAGAATATGTATGAGCTAAATGTATTGCATAATTCTTTTTTTATAGGGCTATTTAGAAACCAAAAAATACTGAGAGAATATAGAGACTTTCTGGGAAATACTAAGGTAAGAATATTTTTCTTTTAATGCTATGTTGAGTATGTGTTTCACAGAAAATCCTAGTATCTGTCCATGATGAAAATCTAGCATGTCTGTGATCCTATTCCAAGGTAGATTTAATCTGCTAAAAAAATACTTATCTTTCCGTTACCAAATTTACTACCTTATCTTCAAGTGTGCCAGAATACTCTCATTTTCCTTCCTACCAGAAGGAAATTAATATTGGGACTGGTATAGGAAGCGTACCTTTACTGTCCACTTCTTATTTTCTTCTAAGTCCTTCATCGGACTTGGATTCCCAAGAGCTCTTATCAAAGCCACCAACACTTCCATGATGCCACATAGTCATGTTCAGAGTCCACCTTGCATTTAAATTGAGCTGGAGGTGTCTCCTGTCAAGAAGTGAGCACCATACCTGGAGAAAGGGCTAGCTTTGCAAATTGTCTCTTTTCTTCTGACTTAAATTTGAGTCTCTTGCTTCCTTCTTGGAAAATTTAGAAATTAGCAATGATGACAACTCTAGTCATACCTTATTTGATGTGCTTTTCTTTCCCATTCATCTTATTAAAAGCCTCTTAATTTCCATTTCTCTTGCGAGCCCTGCATTTCTGGCACCCTAGTGCTGCACTGAAGACCTGGATTCTCTTCAGTGGTGGGGCTTTTGTATGTCGTGTGAGTCACTTCTATGCCTTGACAGCCTCTGCCTCTGCCCCTGCCTCTTGCTATGGAGTAATTTAGGCTGGTGAGATCTGCCTCCTAGGAAGACTTACTGCTAGCTTTATACCTTTTTTGCATGGAGGATCATCAGCACCAGATTTTTGAATAGCAGCTGTTTGACTTCTGAAGTCTGTGTCTCTTAGATCCCTTTTGAAGATTAATACTCATCAGCCTTGAAATGTTATAGATTTTGTATAAAATTTCTAAATTTCTATTATACTTAAAAAAAAATAGTAATAGAATAAGACTTTAGTGTTTAATTTCCTACTGTTTCTGTATTCCTCCTAGGAACACTCACTCTCTCACTAAAGATGGCTGGTTTCCTTCTTTAAAACGTAACAGGATTATTCATGTTTCCTGGAGTAAAAATACCTTGTTTACTTTTTTTTGGTCTTTTTATTATTTATTTAGTTTTTATTGGAGTATGATTGCTTCTCAATGTGTCAGCTTCTGCTGTACAGCAGTGAATCAGCCATGTGTATAAACACAGCCCCTCCCTCATGAACCTCCTCCTCACCCGCCTACTTTGGACCCTTGTTTCTCTCTGATCCAGACACTTCTTACTCTGTTATGTTCTTCATTTTATGGCAGCTCCAATAGTGAAATATATGAACTCACTATATTTTAGGTTTGGCACAAGGACTCTCTCAATGCTCAGTGTTCTAATTGATACCATTTCTTATCCCTTTAATACATTTTCCCTTTAATAATATTTCTATTTTTTGTGCCTTGCCTTCTAATCCTAATTCTCTGAATTTCTTGGGATAGTCTTTCAGCTTACTGGAGTGGGTGGCCAATTTCCTATTCCAGGGGATCTTCCCGAGCTAGGGATAGATCCCAAGTTTCTTGCATCTCCTGCATTGACAAGTGAATCTTTTACCACTTGCACCACCTGGGATTGAAATGAAATCACCTGTAACCCTTTGAATATTTTATGCTGATTTTCCTCCTAGTCCTCTGAAATCTATCCATCTATTTACTATGGATCGGTTGCTTTTTGAGATTTTGCTTCTCTTGCTTCTAGATTTCCTTGGACCTTGTCAGTATTTCTGACCTAATTTTACCAACACATTTTCACCTTTTCTACAACTTTCTTTCTCTCTCTCTTTTTTTTTGGCTGTGCCATGAGGCTTACATAATCTTAGTTCTCCAGGACTCCAGCAGTGGAAGAGCCCAGTCCTAACCATTGAACTGTCAGGGAATTTTCTCTGCAACCTTCTTTCAGAGCAATTTGAGCTCAGCGAATCTCTTTTTCCTTATTATAACATTCTGTTATGGTTTAAAAATCGCATTTTCCTTCCCTATCTGTCTTGTTTATTCCATAAATTTTCAAAACTTTCTTCTAAAGAAATCTTTCTCACCTTCTACCTTAAGTAACATGTTTTCATATTCTACTGTTCCTATAACAATTTCATTTTTTTCTTTTTCCTGTACTAACCAAAGGATATGGTATAGTCTCACTGTAGTAAAATGCACAGACACTGGTTTTTGTTTACCAGTAAATGGCATAACTCAGAAATCTGGAACCATGGTCAGACTTGATGTCTCACTTTAGAGCCTGCAGCTCCCTCTTTTGTTCTGTTGTCCACAGGAGCTTAGTAGGCGCTCTTTAAACCCTAACCTGCAGACCTGACTGCAAAGCATTATCAGAGTGCAAAATGAAAAGAAGAGCATTTTGCTCCCCTAATGCCACATCAGCCTTGTTTTTATCCTTTCTTCACATAAAACTTACTTCCGTCAGACTGTTGGAGTGCGCTGTGTACTCCGCCGAAAACTCTCTCCCAGATTTCGCTGGCTGCTCCTCCCGTCGCGGAACCCCTTTCCCTAGTGCTCTCGTCAGCAGCCCTCCCGTCTCGCCGCAGCGCCGCTCTCTCCGTCTCTGTCTGAGTTTCTGAGTGGTGTCTGCCGCTCAGGTGCGGCGGGTCTCTTGCCGTCTTCCTGTGCTAGACAGTGAGCTCTGGGAAGGCGGGGGCTCTGCGGTGCTTCCTCTTGTGCTCCAGCGTCCAGAACTGCGCCAGGCGTGTAGTGCTTGCACAGTAAATACTTCGTGAATAAACTGCATGAGGCAGAATACATGACTTGCTTTAGTGGAAAAGTGAAGTACAACAGTAAGTGTGGAGCAGCGTGAGTATTCTCGGGGGGATCAAGGAAGGCTTTACATAGAAGGGTAGCCCTCGGCCAGACACGGAAGGAGGTGAGTGAAGCTTAGAGAGCTTACAGTGACGTGTGAGAGCGTTACGGGAGAGGGAACACAGAAAGTGTGAATTTCAGGGAGTAGCCCAAGAGTACTTAACGGAAGGAAAATACTCTCCTGAACACCTTCTCTCCCTGTTTGGTTTCCTTTTGTTTTGTTCAGTTCCGGAACTAAACACAGTGTTACCATTTGAGGGCTTCAGTCCTCAGAGAATACTCAGGAGTTAAATGAGGGCAGCAGGCTTACTGGCTTTGGCTGTTCTTGTTTCAAAAGTTAAGAAGTTGCTCAACAAATGCAAAATTTTAGGTTATTTCAGTTCAGTATATTTTTATCACTTTATTTCTGTTTTTTAATGTAACCAACTCATAATTTTTCTGGGAGTAGACAGGAAATGAATTACAGGAAATAAACAACATTCTGGAAAAGGATCTACATGCACTTTCAATTTCCATCTTCACACAATTTAAAGAGAAAAGTCTAGAGAAAAAGAAATAAGTAAATCTAGTTGTGAAGAGGCATTGATAGACAAGATATTTTCTGGTGTGTCAGAGTCGCATATCGTCATAGTGCCTTTTTGGAAAATGTTAAGAGAGTTTTTTTGTTTTTGTTTTTATAGCCACGCTCTAGAACAGCATCAATTTTTTTAAAGGGGCCAGGCAAAGTGGTGATGGTTGCCATTTGCATGTAAGTACTGAAAAATGAACCTTTAAAAGCAGAATTCTTTTAAAATAATTAAACAAATAATTAAAATTTAATTCTAAATTTTTAAATTTAGTTATGTTTTAATGTATATATATGAATGTATAAATTTATTACTTCGTATCTAGATAAAGATCAAGGTGCTATCTGAAATTTTTTCTTCTATTTTCATTGGTGTTTATAGAAATCTTTTTTAAAAAGTTGAGTTGGCCAAAGTTACATTCAGAGCAAACCAGGCTGCACTGTGGCTACTGAAGAGCATCTGCCCTCTTTATTTTTCTCCCATTTAATCCTGGTAGAGCATAACTGATACCTTTGCCTGTTTCTTTTCTCCTCTGTCGTCTTGATCTCTATTATTTTGCCTACCTTTTAATCTATTGTACCGAGTGATCTATTTTAGGATGATTATTTAAGAGCATTAATTTGTAGTTCATTAGTTTGTGCTTTTATTTCTAAGATACATATACTACCTGTGTCTGGAATTTTGATGTGGTCTGGAAACAAAGATAAAATACGTAGTTCTTACCGTCAAGGACTGGAGGGGCCCTAGACTTAGAGTCATTTGTGATAACACAGATAGTGGCAATAGGGGTGGAGAGACGTGGCTAGGTTCAGAAAGCATTTAGGAGCACTGGTCAGTGATGCTGCCCAGGCCTCTGACTTGGACACTCGGGTCGATGCTGTGCTGTCGCTGAGGAGAAAGGAGCGCTGGGAGGAAGAGTCAGGGCGGGAACGAAGAAAGTAATGGGTTCGTTTTTGAATCTGAGGTACTTATAGGGCGCCCAAGTAGAGCTGGTCAACAGAAATAATTTTTTTGTCTGTTAAGTGGGATTAGCAGCTAAAGCTTTTTGTATTGGAGGAAAGTGATGTAGGGTATGTATACTGCTTAGCATCGTTTCTGTTACATAATATGCACTTGATGATTATGATTGTTAATATATATTGGTTTGAAGCTCAGGAAGGAGATCTGAATTTGAGATAAAGAATACTGAGTAATTAGTATATAGGTAATAATTAAAGCCATAGGAATACTTAGGATCACCTGGAGAATGTATGTGTATATACATTATAATGTATGAGGAAGGAAAAGCACTCCTGAATAAGCCTTGAAGAATGCTCACATTTAAGAAATTGGTAGAAGAAAAAAAAAAAAACCTTCAAAAGAGACTGAGGAAGAGTAAAGAGAAAGGTAGGAAGAAAACCAGGAGTCTGGTAGAAATCAAGAAGGACAGTATTGTAAAAAGATAGTGGCAAATGCTTCTGTAAGATTAAAGAAAACATTAAAAATGTTTTCAGGAATTTAATAGCAAGAAACAGTATATGGTTAAGAACAATCTTATGAGGTGTTGGTGGCAGAAGCCATTGTTTAGTGGGTTGAAGACCAAATACAGAATGAGGAAAACTGAGACAGCAAGAGCAGATACAATTCTTTCAAGAAATTATATGAAGAGGAGAGGAGTAAAGGGTAGCTGGAAGGGGATGTATAGATCCTCATTTATTTCTTTTTCTTTACTTAAAAATTATTTATTTATTTATTTATTTATTTGGCTGCACTGCATTTATTTAGTTGCAGCAGTGGGACCTTTTAGTCGCAGCATGAAAACTTTTAGTTGCTACACATAGGAGTCTCTGACCAGGGGTCAAAGCCAGGTCTCCTGCATTGGGAGTGCAGAGTCTCAGCCACTGGAGCACCGGGGAAGCCCCCTGCCCTCGTTTGCTCATTTATAAAATGAGGATGTTATTACATATTAATATTTGTATAATAGTTACAGTAAAACATAATAAGTAACTTAGTGTCTGAGATAAATGATACTAGTTGTTATTGTTAGAATCTCAGCACAGCTAGCTTCCTCAGGAGATAACCATGTTTGTTTTAGCATTATGATCTTCCAGTATGACCCAGGCTACTTGGTCTGGCCTTGTTCTCACCTCTCGCATCTGCCTGATTAAATAACCTGACCTTCACCAGCGTCATGTCTTTGACAGTGACCTGCTGAACAATATCACGTGTGATCCTCTTTCACCTACCTAAGACACAGCTTCCTTTCTAATTCCATTTCTAATTCCTCTTTTCTCATCAGTTCTTAAAATGTACTTAAGTAATTTGTTTGCACATATCATGCCCCTTTCATTTAAATATTTAGTGAAACCATAATCTATATTCTTCAAATTTATACTGTTGCCTAAAGCATAGTAAACTAGAAATCTGTTTTAACTTACTTTGAACAAAATCGTGTGTGTGTGTGTATAAATAAGCTTTTGCTGGGAATTTTTATCTAAACCTGTGCTAAATTATCTTTTCTTTCTCTCCTAGCAATGGATTAAACTGCTTCTTCAAATTTCTTGCTTGGATTTATACGGGTTCAGCAAGCATGTTTTCAGAAGCGATACACTCTTTATCTGATACTTGTAACCAGGTGAGGGGTAAAAGCTTTCTTATTAATTTAAAGTAATATTTTTTGATATTTTAGTCTAAAAGTTGACATTTTAAAAACTGAATGATTCCTACAGTTGGGTTGTAAAAGAAAATGAAAGGTGTTTTACTTTTGAATGATGACATACAAAGAAGTATGATCATAGTCTTTGAAAACTGATTGTAATGCTTTAAAAGCTTTTAACAATGAAGTATGAGATCATCAGATACTAGATGTTTGGGCAGAGGCTTTTGCAAAAGTGATTCTTACATTAAATAGAAATTTGATTTAAGAATATGAGTTCTTTAACTGTAAGAGCCAGTGGATTTGAGTAAACATATAAAATAGTCACATGTGATTGATGAATTAAAATGATCTTCACAATAAACTAGTATTTTGATTTTTTCCTTGAATTTACAAATGAAAAATAATTTTTATAAAATTAAAATAACTTCTTAGACTCCCTTTAATTCAAATTTTGAGTACTACAAATCTTAGGCCTTTTTTAAAGAATACAACATTTCTACTTGTATATCATTTCACATTTTAAAAAACATGGCCTGTTAAAACCTTTTTAGTTTTTATTTGTTTATCCGCCTGTTATATAAGAATGATTTGGGAAAACTTACCACAAAAGACATAGGTACATACAGTAAGAATATTTAAGACAAAGTTAAAAATAATAATAAAATGGTAAGGAGCAGGGAGAGCAATTTTAATAGAAATTAAATCTGAGAACTCATATAACTCACTGTCAGATAGATTAAAACCTTTTGTAAAAGTAAAGAAAAAAGTAGGGACTTTCCTGGTGGTCCAGTGGCTAAGACTCTACACTCTCAATGCCTGGGGCTCAGGTTCAATCCCTAGTCAGGAAACCAGATCCCGCTTGCCACAACTAAGAGCTATCATACTGCAGCTAAAGATCCCACATGCTGCAAAGAAGATCAAGGATCCCATGAGTGGCGCCCAAGACCTGGTGCAGCCAAATAAATACATATTTAAAAAAATTTTTTTTTAAGATAAGGAAAAAGTACAGACACTTGGTATTAGTACTAACAATCATTTTCTTAAATTTTTATACTCAGTAATTAATAACTACTATTTATATAATATTTTGCCTGTTGAGAGGTGGGTGAGAGAGAAATATATAACACACAGTACCTCTTTTGTTTTCAGTTTGTGTGAACATAAGAAAATTAAAATGTAAAAATAGTACATATTATTAACTTTAGTATTAGTTGTTACTTAAAACATTGAAGACAATTTTTAAGTGTCCATACTCTGAAATACTATTTAGGGGTTTAAAAGCATGTGGTAGGGGGACTTGCATTGCATTCCAGTGGTTAAAACTCCATGCTTTCACTACAAGGGTCACGGATTTGATCCCTGGTTGGGGAACCAAGATCCCACATGTCAAGTGACACAGCCAATAGAAAATAAAAGCATGTGGTAGATAGCTATGTATTGATCTGGAATAATAACCATATGACTGAAAAACCAAGTTGCAGAACATATGTACATAACTTATGTTTCCAGCCATGATGGTCACATGGGGATAGACTTAGTCTTTTGCTATAAACAGCTAAAAAACTATACAAAGTATACTTAACAATATTTTCAAACATTGGACATTAGCAGTGCAAGACTGTGATGCCTGAGGAAGGGGAACAGGTGAATTAAACTCTATGATCTCTCTGATTTTTTGCTTGGAGGCACTTTTGGGATAACGGAGCAGGGTGGGTTACCCATCATTGAGTTGAGAAGGTAGAAATTAGGGTTCAGTGAGTCTGAGGTGGCTAGAAGTTACAAGGCAGGTTACACAGAGGAGGGAGCCATGCGGAGAACAAGCTGCAGGAGTCTCCGCAGGGTTTCCTTGAGCTGAGTCTTCGCTGAGGCTTTGTAGCACGTGTATCAGGTAAAGCACCATGAGACCAGGCAGGGAGCCAGCAGGGAGCAGTGACCTGAGTGATCCCTGGGGCTCACCGAGGGCTTGGATTGAGTGCTGACATTCTAGGGTTGAAAGTTCTGGCTGATTACCCAGGCCAACAGAAGGCTTAGACTTTGGTAGTAGGGCTAAATTATCTTCGTTGTAAAGTTTTAGTAGAACCTTTCTAACAAAGCTCTAGAGGATCATGCTGATTTGCAAGTAACTTAATTACCTGCCAGATCGAAGCCCTACACTTATTAAAAGGAAGACAACAAATTCCAGGCATGCAGTATAACGTTCATGGTGTTCAGCACCTAATAAAAAAATTTGTATTAGACAACCAGGAAGCAAAAAATTTGACATTTAACCAGGAGAAAAATCAGTCAATAGAAACAGACTCAATTGACATATGCTAGAATTAGCACACAAGGATAAATGGCCATTAAAGATACATTCATATTATGTATCAAAAAGAAAATATGAATATGGTAGATGCCCAGTATGCTATGAGATGGCTGGATGGTATCACTGACTTGATGGACATGGGTCTGAGTAAACTCCAGGAGTTGGTGATTGACAGGGAGGCCTGTCGTGCTGCGATTCATGGGATTACAAAGAGTGGGACACAACTGAGCGATTGAACGGAACTGAATGGAAAGAGAAATGGAAGACAGAAAGAAGAACCAGGTGGAAATTTTAGATCTGATGTGAAAAATCCAATGCATAGAATTAAGAGCAGATTAAACTTTGTGGAAAGCATGATCAGTAAACTCAAGTAAACATGACTGTAGAAAGCATTCATACTAACACTAGAGTGAAAAAAGACTTAAAAAAAAATGAAGGGAGCCTTAGACATGTGGGACGTTATCAAGAGAATTATATCAAACATGTAAGGAAGAAATAATAACCAGTAGTATACAGACTTTCAAATATAGAGGAGAAGGAAACACTTTTCATTCCCTCTAATAAGGCTAGCATAACCCTGATTGTTTGCTGTTTAATTGCTAAGTTGTATCTGACTATCTTGCAACCCCAAGGACTGTGGCCTGCCAGATTCCTCTGTCGTGGGATTTTCCAGGCAAGAATACTGGAATGGGTTGCCCTTTCCTTCTGTAGGAGATCTTCCTGACCGAGGGTCCAATCTCCTGCATTGGCAGGTGAATTCTTTACCACTAGGCCACTAGGGAAGACCACTTTAACCCTGATGTAAAACCTTAAAGATACTGCAAGAAAAAAGTATGGACCCATATCTCTCATTAACATAGATGTAGATATCCTTTAGATATAATCAAATTGAATCTAGCAATATATAAAAATTATAATACATCATGATCAAGTTGAGTATTCTAGGAATGCAAAGTTAGTTTAATATTCAAAATCAGAAGATTAATATACAAAAATCTGTTGCATTTCTACTGTCAACAAACAAATGGAGAATGAAATTTTTAGTAAATTCCATTTATAATATTAAATACATAGGAGTAAATTTAGCAAAAAATGTGTAAGATTTTAACACTGAAAACTTAAAATGTAACTGGAGGAAGTTAAGACCTAAGGAAATTGATAGAGATACTATGATCATGGATTGGATTACTGCATTAACATGTCTAAATTAATTTACAGATTTAATATAATCCAGCAGACTTTTTTTTGGTAGAAATTGACAAACTGATTAAATTCTAAAATTTATATGCAAATGTAAAGAACCTTGAATATTCAAAGCAATCTAAAAAAGTTTTTTGGAGGATTTTAAGACTTATTTCAGAGCACAATAATTAAGACAGTAGGGAATTCCCTGGTGGCTCAGACCGTAAGAATCCGCCTGTAGTCAGGAGAGACAGGTTCCATCCCTAGGTCGAGAAGATCCCCTGGAGAAGGAAATGGCTACCCAGTCCAGAATTCTTGCCTGGAGAATTCCATGGGCAGAGGAGCCTGGTGGGATACAGTCCATGGGATCACAGAGTCAGACACGACTGAAGAACTAACACTTTGAAGGTTTTGGCATAAGGACTGACAGATCAGGAGAACAGAGGAGAGGGTCCAGCAGTTACATCGTCAGTTGATTTTTGACAAAGGCACCAAAGCTGAAGAAAAGAAACTCTTCAACAAATGGTATATGGGGGAAATGGGTATTCACATAAGTGAAAAACAGAGGACCTTGGCTTATACAAATGCCTTCATGCTTTATACAGATTTAAGGTGGACCCAAAAGTACCAGCTAAAACTATGAAAATACTAGAAGAAAACCTAGGAGAATTATCTTCTAGACCTTTGGCTAAGCAGACATTTCTTAAACAGGACACAGAAGTAGAACCATAAGATAAGAAAAACTTCATCAGAATTAAAAACTCTTACTAAGGACGCTTTTAAGACAATAAATAGGCAAGTTGCAGATAGGGAGAAAATAGTGGTGAAGCTTATAATATGACAAAAGACTGGCATCCAGGATAAATAAAGAACTTCTATTTTGTTGTTCAGCTGCTAAGTCACGTGTGACTTTGCGACCCCACGGACTGTAGCACACCAGGCTTCCCTGTCCTTCACCAACTCCCGGAGTTGCTAACATTCACGTCCATTGAGTCAGTGATGCCATCCAACCATCTCATCTGCTGCTGCCCTCTTTTGTCTTTACTCTTTCCCAGCATCAGGGGCTTTTCCAGTGAGTCAGCTCTTCACATCAGGTGACCAAAGTATTGGAGCTTCAGCTATAACTCAGTATTAAAAAGAAAATCTGATTTTTTTTTAAAGGCTGAAGATTTGAAAGGTACTTCACAGAGGTACACGCATGTAATTGATGGACACAAGGAGGTGTTCAGCACTATTCATCATCAGGAAATGGATACTGACACCCAGACAGGACCTCTCTACACATCCACTATAATGATTAAAATTTAAACGCCTGACAGTCAGATGTTGTGTTAAGATGTAGAGCACCCAAACCTTTTAGATATTGCTGGTGGAGTGTAAAATGTTATACAGATACAAACCGCACAGTCGTGTCTGAGTCTTGGCAACCCCGTGGACTGTGGCCCACCAGACTCCTCCGTCCATGGGATTCTCCAGGCAAGAATACTGGAGTGGGGTGCCATTTCCTTCTCCAGGGGATCTTCCCAACCCAGGGATCGAACCCAGGCCTCCCGCATTGCAGGCAGACGCTTTAACCTCTGAGCCACCAGGGAAGCCTGTAAAATGTTACAACCACTCTTAAATTAGTCAGCTTCTTGTAAACATATGTCTATTGTTGGACGCAGCAGTTCCCCTCCTAAATATTTAACCAGGGGAAATGGGAACAAAGGTCCACAAAGACTTGTTTAAGAATGTTTATAGCACTGTAAAGGTGCTGTAGTGGACAGAAAATTGGGATCAATTTTCTGATGACGAATGTTCATCCACAGTGGAGTAAACAAATTGTGGTATACTCATACAATGGAATATTACCTAGCAATAAAAAGAAAAAAATGAAATTCTTGTCTGTAACAGCATACCTGCATCGCCAACAATATGTTAAATAAAAGATGGCAAATACAAAAGAGTAGTAATTGCATGATTCCATTTACATTAAGTTTTAGAACTTTGACTTTAATTTTTGGAGAACAGGATTAGTGATATCTTATTTTTATAAGAATAAATACGGCCCATATTAAATTTATAGAACTTCTGATATCTCACACTTCATTGCACAGCCAACCTGAACATTAAGTATTTTAAAAATGATTGAACACTCACTATTTTGTAAACATTATAAACATACACATATATAGTGTGAATTGATAATGAGTATTTCAATTTTAGTATACCAGTTTTTAAATTATATATTCTTAATTTACTCTCATTCTCTTAGTTTAATTTCTTGAAAAGCCATCATTTGTTTTAAGTAGTTTAACCCTCTTTTCCTTTAGAATCAAGTAGAAAAAAAATTTGTAATATTCTTTGTTTTTAGGATAGAATTTCCAGTATCAAAACTTAAATCTGGTATTTATTTGTTTTAGTCATTTTCAGGGTGGTAAAATCTACGTATATTTTACAAAAGAAAATGTTTCTATTAAATGCACGGTAACCTACAGAGAAACCTCAACTGTGAAGAATTTGGTTATCTTAAAAGTTTACCTATTTGATACCATGCTGAAAAAATGAAAACCCCCCCAGCTTAGTCGAATAAAATTTCATATTCACTCAGAGGCTTTGTATTTTTATTAGATAAATAATTTTAGTAAGGTAATCTTCAGATTTCTAAATTTACATCAAATTAATAGAAAAGATACTTAGTGTAAACATAATACTGAGCAGTTCCAGTGAATCAGTCTTTTTTAACAAAAGATATGATAAAAAAAAAAAGATATGATCAAACATACCAGATAAACAAAGGAAGAAAAGATGAAGGCAAGGGAGGAAGGAGAGAAAGATGGTAACCAATATAAAAGACATTTTTGTCATGCAAAATTTTGTCATTTTGTCATGACTTTTTTTCCCTAAAGAAATAAAATTTTTGTTGTAATTAGTCTTCGTCTTTATTTCCTCCTTCCGTACTCTGGACAGTCACTGCAGTGTATACACTGATATACCTGTACTTCATGCACATAGTTTTGGAGCTTTACTGAAAATGTAAATGTGTCATAGAATAGAATAGTACCTCAGTCATGTCTGATTCTTTGCGAACACATATTTGTAGCCTGCCAGGCTCGTCTGCCCATGGAATTCTCCAGGCAAGAAAATGAGTGGGTAGCCATTCCCTTCTCCAGGGGATCTTCTCGACCCAGAGATCAAACCCAGGTCTCCTACATTGCAGGCAGATTCTTCACCTTCCAAGCCACCAGGGAAGCCCAAATATATCATGTGTATACACAAATTGTACTCTTTAAATGTTTTATTCATTCAGCTTATACAAGTTATTCTTCCTGTAAAACATTAGGTATTACAGGCTACCCTAATCCTACTTTCCTCCTCAGAGGTTAAACATGAGTTCTTTCAGGCTTTTCCCTATGCTTTACATTATATGTTGTTTACAGACAACTACAAAGCACAGGTTCTTTTGTATTGTACATTCCGTTTCTAAACTTGCTTTTTTTCCTTTCACTGAATGTTACGTGTTGGAGCTTTCAGCGTGTCAGCATAGAGAGCTCTATCCCAACGCTATTCTTTTGCACTGAGGTGGAAGAAATCTACTGTTTGGTTGTACCATGATTTATTTTGCCATTCCTCATTGAAGAAGTTTTAGGTTGCTCTCTTATTTCTCATCTTTAAAAGCAGTGGTTTGTTGGGTTTTTTTTGGTGTCAAACTTTTCTCCCCCATTTATTTTTATTAGTTGGAGGCTAACTACAATGTTGTAGTGGTTTTTGCCGTACATTGACATAAGCAGTGTTTTTTAAAGCCCTTTCTGTTCATCGTTATGGCTCAGTGGTAGGTACTAGAAACCAGAATTGCTGGGTCAGGGACATGCGTGTGCTCAGTGTTTGTTCTCAGTCTGTGTCCTCTAGGCTGGCTTTACCTCATCACACTCCCTGTCTTGCTAATGATCATTCACTTTTCTTCCTTCCATAGGCCTTACTTGCATTGGGCATCAGTAAGTCTGTTCAGACACCAGATCCTACTCATCCGTAAGGACTCTGTCTTTATTATGTTTTCATTTGTTTTGCCAGTAAGTCATTGAATTATAGATAATGTCCTGAAGTTTTATGTACCTGCAGCTTTGTGTTAAAGATTTGGTCCTTTCTTCTGCTGTAGTATCTAAATTGCAGGATTCAGCTGTTGTGTCAAAGTAAATTCAAGATCTAATTTGAAAATGGAGTTCAAATTATTTTTATTCTTCGTAATGTAGCATAAAGATCTTGTCCTCTTCGTATTTGATAATTAATAACAAAGCACATATTTTGATCTTGGAGTTGTTTTATTTGGTCAAATACGTATATTTCATGAAGTAATAGGCCACTTTTAAATTTTAGTGATAATTTCTATTAAATTCACGCTTAATGTATTTTAATCCCCTTATTGTCATTTGGAGGTAGTATTGTTAATGTTTCGAAATGACTTATTTTTAAAAGAAATGTGCTCTAGCACATATTGTTTTGAATTATATTAGTTATTTGATACAAAGACTTGCTACTGCTTCTACTAATATAACCAGCTAAAATTTTTGGATTCTACATGTGTTTTTTTCTTTTTTTAATAAGTTCAGTAATAGAATTTGATAAATCAAATTTGCTTTAAGGCAAAAGAAGTACACTTTTATTTCTATATAGGAATCTGCCTCTGTGCTTTATACATCTTGAAATCCAGACACTCCTGTTTTCTTATAAATAATAGCATATTTTGAATATCCTGTAACTGTCAGTAAGGTTTTATAGGGAACAGCTAGCTTTCGAGTCTGCTAATTACACATGGTTACATGATTATAGCATTTTACTATGTCAAAAAAATTTTTTTCTGACCAGTTTTATATACCAAAAATTGTAAAACAGGGTGAAATTGAAAATTTTTAGGTGTGTAGATTTCATAAGATATTTTCAACAATCTACTTTAGTGCTGCCTGATAGAATTTTCTACAATAATAGGGACAGTTTTGCATGTCTGTTCAGTATGCTCATCACTGAGCTGCATGGGGCTGTTGAGCACTGGAAATGTGGCAGGTGCAATCGAAGAGTTATGTTAAAATTTTATTTAGTTTTACTTAATTTACATTTAAATAGTCTTATGTAGCTAGTGACATATTGGATAGTGCAGATCTACATAATTAAAAATTTCAGTAAGAATATACAAATTCCTTGAAACACATAAAATGAAAGTAATGCTATTTATTTTAGATTTTAAATTATCTTAAATATTTATAGTCTATGTGGGGAAAACTTTAAGAGAATGTTAATTTTTCTAAATCAAGCTTACAGAACACTGTCACATCTATAAACTGATAATTTCCTATGGTAAGATTACATATTTGCAAAAGGAATTAAATAAAAACAATTTTAATTAGGATTCCCAGCAAGAATGCTGGAGTGGGTCACCGTATCCTATTCAGAGGGTCTCCCCACCCCAGGGGCTGAGCCTGTGTCTCTCGCACCTCCTGTTGACAGCAGATTCTTTACCACTGTGCCGCCTGGGGACCCTTTACATTAAGGGCTCTGGTTTACGTTTGCATCTGCTCTAGGGGTGCCATGTTTGAACTTGGGGGTAAATTTCCCAGAAACTTGTGTTATCAGTGAGTGATTCTTTCCCTCTTACATTATCTCATATTTTTTAATTTATTACTCATTGTTGTATTGGTAGATACAGTAATACAAAGTAATGCACATGTTGACCAAAGACTCTTAAAAAAATAATTGAGATTTAACAAAAAAGTTGTCATCAAACATCGAGAAAACTGAATGTCTTAGTCTTTTAATAATAGTAGTGAGTTACTGTGTGTAAATTCTACAGAATTGGCAAAAAGTATCTAGCATCAAATTATAGATAATATAAATTATGTAAGGCAGTATTGAATTAGAAACTTCATTACAAGGAAATTGAAATGTTATCCTCTTCATTAAACATCTGAATATATTTTAAAAATAAATTTTATCTGTTTGTGGTATTTAAAATCGCTGTAGTAAATCAAAGCAAATTATAAGAAAGAGGGATTAGCAAATACCTGAATTAAATCATATTCACTTTATTTTTATATAGTTTCAAAGATCATGCAGTTTTTTCCACTTTATATTTTACTTTCTGATTAGATTTGAGTTTAGCACTTACCTTTTACTTAACTATAAAATCATAACATCTTGATACCGTAACAGGTTTTTCTTCATTGAACTATTAAACATTTTGGATGGAAATCATATTTCTTGTAAACTATTTTTTATTTTTCAGGTATGGATTTTCAAATATGCGCTATATTGCTTCACTAATTAGTGGTGTTGGTATTTTCATGATGGGTGCAGGATTATCTTGGTACCATGGAATCATGGGATTGCTCAATCCTCAACCAATAGAATCTCTTCTATGGGTAATTTTCTCCTTCCCTCCCCCCTCAGTTTTAAAGTAGTATAAACTAACAAGTACAGTAGAATACCTTTGTTATATTAATGTTAAAGATTGGGACTAAATATACCTTCTTGACTGTAATATAGGATTATGTACGTGTGTGTGTTGTTTAGGATGTGACTGAACCTGACCTCTAAATCCCTGTGATTCAGTGATGTTGAGCAAGAGTATCTCTTTAGGTACAGTCGTTAAGCACTGCATCCTTGGTTAAAATTTTGGACAGTTCTATTAATTTCTTCCGTTACTAAAAGCAGAAAGACCAGAAGACCTCTGTTCCGTTTTAGTACTGAGAATAATCTGTCAGCAGTTAAAATATCCATTCCGTTGTAACAGTCACATGTGAGAATTTTTCCTAAAGCGTCTTCCCCACATTCTGGTGGAGCCTCCATTGGGGGAATGGGTGTGTGGCTGCCTTCTGTATGTTTGCCCCTAAGGGCTTCGGTTCCTCTCTCCTGCGCCTCTGGCAGCACTGAAGGTAGAGATGGGCACTGGCTTCATCTTGCACTGGCATCTGCTGGTCTTCGTAGAGACCTATGGCTGTCTGTTTTCTTCTCATGGGAACTTCCTGGAGGTTACCCTGCTTGGCAGCTGAGACCACAGCTCCCTCGACAAGTGCAAATCGGTCCTGTGGCACCCCTCTCGGCTTTTGTATCTCACGGTGTAGCTCCAGACTGTTTCTGCTGATGTTGCCAGTAAGATTCAGTGGAAGGAGCCTAAAATTGAGATAGGAAAACCTGTATTCTAGTTCTTACTCCAATATTCTTTCCGTGTACTCAAGCAAATCACATAGCTTTGGGAAATCTTACTTTCCTTAACAGAATGAGGAGAATGTTGAAGGGGGTTCAAAATTTTTAAACCTCTATTTCAGGGAAGGCTGGAGTTCCAAAAATTCTATATTTGAATTTTTAAATTTCATATAAAATTTTTCATTTGAATTTCATATAAAACTTTAAAAAAATCTGTCTTTTTTTTTCTGCATGTCTTGGACTAAAGCACAAAGCTGTTCTTGATAGTTGAGTTCAGTCGCTCAGTTGTGTCTGACTCCTTGCCACCCCATGAACCACAGCACACCAGGCCTCCCTGTCCATCACCAGCTCCCGGAGTCCACCCAAACCCATCTCCATTGAGTTGGTGTTGCCATCCAGTCATCTCATCCTCTGTCGTCCCCTTCTCCTCCTGCCCTCAATCTTTCCCAGCATCAGGGTCTTTTCAGATCAGTCAACTCTTCGCATGAGGTGGCCAGAGTACTGGAGTTTCGGCTTCAACATCAGTCCTTCCAATATGAACACACCCAGGACTTATTTCCTTTAGGATGGACTGGTTGGATCTCCTTGCAGTCCAAGGGACTCTCAAGAGTCTTCTCCAGCACCACAGTTTAAAAGCATGAATTCTTCGGCGCTCAGCTTTCTTTATAGTCCAACTCTCACGTCCATACATGACTACTAGAAAAACCATAGCCTTGACTAGACGGACGGACCTTTGTTGGCAAGGTAATGTCTCTGCTTTTTAATATGTTATCTAGGTTGGTCATAACTTTCCTTCCAAGGAGTAAGCGTCTTTTAATTTCATGGCTGCAGTTACCATCTGCAGTGATTCTGGAGACCAAAAATGTCTGCCACTCTTTCCCCATCTGTTTGCCATGAAGTGATGGGACCAGATGCCATGATCTTAGTTTTCTGAATGTTGAGCTTTAAACCAACTTTTTTACTCTCTTCTTTCACTGTCATCAAGAGGCTGTTTAGTTCTTCTTTACTTTCGGCCATAAGGGTGGTGTCATCTGCATATCTGAGGTTACTGATATTTGTCCTGGCAATCTTGATTCTAGCTTGTGCTTCTTCCAGCCCAGCGTTTCTCATGATGTACTATGCATATAAGTTAAATAAGCAGGGTGACAATATACAGCCTTGATGTAGTCCTTTTCCTACTTGGAACCAGTCTGTTGTTCCATGTCCAGTTCTAACTGTTGCTTCCTGACCTACATACAGGTTTCTCAAGAGGCAGGTCAGGTGGTCTGGTATTCCCATCTCTTGAAGAATTTTCCACGATTTATTGTGATCCACATAGTCAAAGGCTTTGGCCTAGTCAATAAAGCAGAACTAGATGTTTTTCTGGAACTCTCTTGCTTCTTCGATGATCCAGCAGATGTTGGCAATCTGATCTCTGGTTCCTCTGCCTTTTCTAAAACCAGCTTGAAGATCTGGATGTTCACGGTTCACATATTGCTGAAGCCTGGCTTGGAGAATTTTGAGCATTACTTTACCAGCATGTGAGATGAATGCAATTGTGTGGTAGTTTGAGCATTTTTTGGCATTGCCTTTCTTTGGGATTGGAATGAAAACTGACCTTTTCCAGTCCTGTGGCCACTGCTGAGTTTTCCAAATTTGCTGGCATATTGAGTGCAGCACTTTCACAGCATCATCTGTTAGGGTTTGAAATAACTCAACTGGAATTCCATCACCTCCACTAGCTTTGTTCGTGGTCATGCTTCTTGATATCTTTATCTAGTTCAAGAGTGTCTGGGATTGTAAGGAAAATGGTATTATTTTCCTCCCCCAAATTGATTACTGTGTATAACTTCTGATGCATGTGAATCAGCACTGAGAAAGAATTCTCTTGATACTGGGTGTCCAAACAAAATTGAGAATTAACTGGGTATGGTTGGGGATCTTACTGTACCCACAACCCTAGATTTCAAATGTTTGTGTTCATTTTGAAGTTAAAAACTTTTTTTACCAATTAACTAATAATTCTTTTATATCATGAATTAACTTAGGTCATGGTATAACATTCTACTCTGTGTGTGTGTATATTACTCTTCCAGGTATTAAAAAGTGAGATGGTCATCAGATTTTAACTCTTGTTTCTTCTTATGAGACACCATGTATCTCATTGTCCTCATTTGAACTATTTCCCATCAAAATCCTTATCTGATTGGGATTGAATTGATGTTTCCATTCATTAAGCTTATTATGCATGTACTGTTATAATTCTTTAGTGAAATATTAACTTATGCTTTATTTTAATATTTATTTCCTAGGCATACTGTATTTTAGCGGGATCATTAGTATCTGAAGGAGGTACGTACTATCCCAGAATTTTGTTATTCTTAATAATCTATAGTCCATTTTTATAGTTTGCTATTAATAATAAGTTCTCTTGGTTAAAGAAAACTGTAGAAATAGGAATAAAGTTTTGTCTCCTTTGAGGGAGGAAATTCTTTGTATAATGTACTATGTTGATTCCTATAATGGATGGGGCCAAATTTGGAAAAACTGTTTTTGTTCTTGTTCTTAAGTATCATATCATGCTCAGAACATTTGAAATGGAGTATAAAAACATAACTATATACTGAGTTTTTAAGAATCAGGCTTTAGTAATGTTAACCAGGGAAGACTGTCCCTTTTTGTGGTACGAGTATTTTTAAGGTTTTGAAAGTTTGAGCTATAGCAGTAACATGACAGAGAAGTGCTAATACCATGCATGAAACTGCCTAATCTGCTGCTCTACTTAAAGTATGTTTACTTCTGAAACATTGTCATTTTCTATGCATTATCCCTTCATCTTTGACATTCTTGTAAAATGTTGATAATACCACCTGCCTCAAAAGGTTGGGGGTCTCAAAAGTGATTGTGCTTAGCGTGGTACCTGACAACTAACCCCATGGACAGTAACCTGCACCAGGCTCCTCCATCCATGGGATTTTCCAGGCAAGAGTACTGGAGTGGGTTGCCATTTCCTTCTCCAGGGAATCTTCCCGACCCAGGGATCGAACCCAGGTCTCCCGCATTGCAGACAGACACTTTACCGTCTCAGCCACCAGGGAAGTCCTAATAAATTAAGGCTCTTGTGACAGTAATGATATTTAAATTATGGTAGCTGAAAAGATGGGATTCATTTTATTATAATGATTAACTGGCAGTCTTGATAATGGCTAGTTTAATATAGAACTTCTCCTTATTGACAGCTCTTAGCATTAAAGCATTGTGCCTATTTATTTATCTTTTGAGATGCCATCTTTGAAGTTTAGAGGCATGAAGTTTCTTCCATCTGATATGAGTGCTTTTCTTTCAGCAACGCTTCTTGTTGCTGTAAATGAGCTTCGTAGGAGTGCTCGGGCCAAAGGAACGTCATTTTACAAGTATGGTATGTACTTTAGAAATGTAGGTGTATTGTATCATCATCTTTATTTGCCTAAAATCACCGAGTACTGTTGCTTTGTTCCACATAGATGTGTACAAAATATGTCTCAAGGTCTTCCCTATGTGGCTTGTAGTGTAATTTGAATAGGAGTGCTTTATATTTGGTTTTAACTTACGTGGACTACAGTATTTCTGTATATGCTTATGTAACTTGAGAAAGTAATTTGACTCTAAATATCAGTTATTGTTAACATTTAAATCAAGTAATTATGTTTATATTGAACAGTTTTAAAAGTCAGGATCTCATGCATTTTTTATTTTTTATTTTTTTATGGCCATTGTGCACAACTTGTGGGATTTCAGTTCCCCAGCAAGGGATTTAACCTGGGCCATAGCAGTGAAAACCTATAATCCTAACCGCGAAGCCACTAGGGAGCTCCCTTTTAATTCAAATTAAATTAAGTTAAATTAATGGACATTTTATGTTGCCTGATAATATCAAATTCAAATTTCAAAAGTTTCTTTTCTTGTCTCTACCCCAATGATTAAGTAATGGAAAGTCGTGATCCTAGTACAAATGTTATATTACTGGAGGATACTGCAGCGGTGTTGGGAGTGACAATAGCAGCCACTTGTATGGGCCTTACTTCCATAACAGGTAAATATTTCTCGGATTATGGGTGATTTATTTGTACTACTTAAATAATCCTTTAATATGTGGGAATTTTCCTTTATATCATTGAAAAAGTTTAAACCAATAGATTGTTAAATGTGAATTTCATACTAACCGTTTAAATAAGACAGTAAAAGTATTCAGATTTCTGAGTTAGAAATTTCTCTTAGAAATAAAGAAAACTGCTAATAGAGCATTTCTATAATGCTTTAAACCTTTCTAGCTGTGACTTAGTAAATTACACAACTATTCAGAGCTTTAAGTTCTTTATGTGTAGAGATATTGGTAATATTGTCCTAGTGACCTTACAGGTTTGAGATAATATATGAGAGAAAGAACTTTAATAAACTCTAAAGTTTAAAATAAATACACATTGTGGCTTACCCCTTTGTCTTTTTCCGCTATTAGTGCCAATAATAACTGCTCTTGCTTTGCTGTCTCCTTGATTCTTTAGTTGCCTCCATCCTCACTCTGGCAGCTAGTTAAATGTTTTGAAGGCCAGTGCAGCACAGGTGAATAAGAAGACAGACAAACGATTTTATTTTTATTTTCTAAAATAAACGAACCAATTATTATGAAGAAACTCAATTTCTGAGGTTGGAATTCTCTTGGAACAGTATTTCCATTCTTACCTGTTTGTCCTAGCATATTTAAAATATTTTAGGTGATGAGCTTCCACCGTTCTGCAGTGTTAACATAGTCTAAAGTATGAATAGATTTTTCTCATTTTGAATGTGCATATTGAGACTAAACCAGCATTTTATGATGTTCACTATGATCCAAAATATTCCTAAATGTTTTGATTGTTTTTCTAGTTGACCTTATCATTTTAGACACTTTTTAGACATAAATAATTTCTTAGCAAAATGTAAGGCTTAAGGAAAGTATGACTTGATGAATAGGTCAACTTTTAATAGGGGGTAGGATGGGATCAGGGGTGGGAGGGAGGTTCATGAGGGAAGGCATATATATACTTATGGCTAATTCATGTTGTTGTATGGCAGAAACCAGTACAATATTGTAAAGCAATTTTCCTCCAGTTAAAAATAAATTTAAAAATATCAAGATAAAGAAAGATCTCTTTCTACCAAGTATGTTTTATTATATCCTTCATTAAAAAGTTTCACAATAATTTTTATTTAATTACTTAAGTCATTTACATTAAGTGACATGCCCGGAAATAAAATATTTTCCAGCTAATAATTCTGTTTATTATTATTGTCATTCAGTTATTAATACTGTATATTTGAAAATAAAAATAATTAAGTTTAGATTTCTAAAGAAGAGCAGTATTTAATTTGAAACTCTATACAAACTTCCTAATGGATTATGTTTTACAAGTGGATCATATTTGTACACTTTAGTAGTACAAAATAAGTCATGCCTTTTTAGTGTTATATTTTGACTACATGTTAATAAAACTAATGTAAATTGAGAGTTTTTTTTTAGTAAAACATGTATATTAAGCATTAAGGTAGTGTTAAATTTAATACTGACATTTGATCTATGGAATAAAAGGCTTAATTTATAAAAACCTTGCATGTAAAACTTATTATAGAGATTTAAAGTATAATATTTATTGATGTCTGTTAATAAATATTAACCTATACATTCAAAGATAGTAAGTCACCTCTTCTTATTGGTTCTGGAAGAGAATAAAGTCCTAATAACCTAGTGCAAACTTTACAATCAGAATCATCTGGAGGGATTGGGAACGCATAGAATGCTAGACCTCTGCTCCAGAGTTCTGATTTAGAAGGTCTTGAGTGAGACCTGACAATTTGCATCATTGCCAGGTTATCTAGTGATGCTGATGCTACTACTGGTCTTAGGACTGCATTTTGAGAACCGCTGCTTTAAGGTAGCCAGCAGATGAAATGAACTTCCATTTTCTTTCTGCTTTCTTTTTGTATATCTAAGAATGTTGCTACCTATGTATCATTCTTGGTTGAAAGAGATAAAAGTGCCTGGTACATATTTTTTTATATGGCTTAAATCTTTCACAGAACCTTTATAAGACAAAACACAGAAATTTTTTTTTACCTGTTGGTCCTACAGTTATTTTGTCAACTAGGAAAAGTGCTACCGACATACCAAAAAAGAAATGGACTCTTTATTGCATTAGCATATATATATCATGTCTCTAATTTGAAATGCTCTGAACCCTAACCCATGTGACCTGGTGCAATGAATGGATCATAAGTAATTAAATTGCATAATACTCTTTTGTGTAATATGTGGCAAGTTGTAGCATTCTTCTTTTGTAGAATAGTAAAACTATTAGGAGAAAGTCATTAAAGGAATTAGGAATGAATTTCAAGTCCCTTGGCTTACTAATTTAGGTTCTTTGCTCCCTAAAGCTCATTGGAATAGAACATGTTAATTTACTGACTTCTTACGTGCTTTTGTTTAGGCAACCCAGTGTATGACAGCCTAGGCTCTTTGGGTGTGGGCACCCTGCTGGGCGTGGTCTCAGCGTTCCTCATCTACACCAACACAGAGGCGCTCTTGGGGCGATCCATCCAGCCAGAACAAGTGCAGCGGCTTACTGAACTCCTGGAGAACGATCCGTCAGTAAGGTCAGCTTATTCCAGTGATGCTGTTAAAGTTTAGAGAAATATATTAAGAAATAGAAATGCTTGTTTTATAAATTCTTCCAAAAGAAGTTTTGCATCCCTAGCTTTCAGAACTTTTTAATCCACTAATTTGCAGCATTGCAACCTTACAAGAAAGCAAGTGAAAGCATTTAGCAAACTCCCTGAGTTTCCTTTTAAATCTTATCTTTAATTTTTCTAATAAGGAACAGTTAGATGATTTAATGGGAACAGAAGTTTGCAAAGTATTTGACTGTTTAATGTGGAACCACTTATATGAAATCTTCATATTTATATGTGCCTTATATTTGTATTATAATTACAAATTGAATATGTATTTTTAAAAACTTATTTGACTGCACTGGGTCTTAGCTACAGCATGTGAGGTCTAGTTCCCAGACCAGGACCGCATTGGGAGCTTGGAGTCTTAGCCACTAGACCACAGGGAAGTCCCCGCAAATTGAATATACTGAACTTAAAAATTTTTTATTCATTGGGATATGACTACCAAATTGAATATAATTTATTTTTTTTTAGCATACAGACATCTTATTTTAGCTTATTTTAAGTGTTTTTCCTTATAATCTTTATCTTTGAATGATAAAGAGTTGAAGATTTAAGAGATAATCAGAAGAGATCAAGTGTTCTGATAGACCTTAATGAACTTAAGCAGTAGTATAGTTTCAGAGTGAAGGGGAAGGAACAATCCTTTAAAATTCTAATTTTCTACTACTTACATACATATATATATGTGTGTGTGTGTGTGTGTATATATATATATATATATATATATATATATATATATATATATTTAACTTTAAGAATGTGTTTTTCTTGTGTTATAATTAAAATCTTTAAGTTCAGTCTTTTAAGAATGACCTCTATATCTGCATCACTAAAACAAATGAGTATGTGATTATTGTATTTATATTCTACGCCCTGCATGTTCATTCTTAAAAAGTAGTTCCCTACTAGATCAAGATCAGAAGTCGAGCGTGTTTAGAATCAACACTAGGCTTAGTGGCTTCATGTGAGACTCCATATTAACGTCCTTTTCTTGTGGTGCTTTTGTCTACTTTTAGTATCATGGTAACATTGACTTTATAAAGTGAGTTGGGAAGTGTTTCCTCTCCTCTTCTAATTTTTTTAAATGAGTTTGTAAAACAAATTGCTATGATTTCTTCTTTAAATGTTTGGTACAGGTCAGCAGTGATGCCATCTGGGGACGGGCTCTCTGCGTGGTCCCTGTTGATTACTTGCTCTGTCTCTGGTTCCACGTTTATTTGGATTGTCTATTTTGTCTTGTGTCAGTTTCAGCAGTCTGTGTCTTTCTAGAAATTTGTCCATTATTTCTAAGTTATCTAATGTGTTGGTACAGCTGTTCGTGGTTTTCCTTTGTATTTCTTTTTATTTCTTTAGGATTGGTAGTAATGTCTCCTCTTTCATTTCCGATTCTGGTAATTTAAGTGTTGTTTATTTTTTTTTCTTGGTCAGTCCAGCTAAAGATTTATCAATTTTGTTCATCTTTTCAGAGGACTAACTTTTGGTTTAATTGATCTTATGTTTTTTCTATTTCTTGAATCCTGCTCTAATCTGTATTATTTCCTTCCTTCTGCTTGATTTACATTTAGTATTGATTTAGGTTTGCTCTTTTTTCAATGTCTTATGAGGGTACGTTAAGTTTTTTTATGTGATATACATCTTCTTTTTTTAATATAGGCTTTTACACTTATAAATTTCCTTCTAAGTACTGCTTTCACTTCATCCTATAAATTTTATTATATTGTGTCTTCATTTGCGTCAAAGTATTTTCTGATTTCACTTTAGATTTCTTCTTTAACCATCGGTTGATTAGCAATGTGTGGTTTAATTTCTCAAATGTCTTTGTTACTTCTTATTTCATTCCATTGTGGTTATCAAGCACTTTTTATTATTTCTGCCCTTTTAAATTTACTGAGCTTTATTTTATAGCCTGACATATGATCGATCTTGGATAATGTTCCATGTGTACTTGAGGATGTTTATTCTGCTATTGTAAGGAGTGTTGTGTAGATGTCTGTTAGATTTGGTTGGTTTATAGTGCTCAAGTTTTCTGTTTCCCTATTGATCCTCCTGCCTTATTGTTCTCTCCATTATTGAAAATTAGGATATTGAAGTCACCTATTATTGTTGAATTGCCTATTTCTCCTTTCATTTCTGTCAGTTTTTACTTCATGTATTTTGGCACCCATTTGTTAGGAATAATGTGTTTATAATTTGCATATGTTTATAATCAAAGTCTACAAAAGAACTGTAAATGGAAAGAGTGTGACAAATCTGAAACTTCCTGAAATAGTGAAGAGCTGTAGATTAAATTGTTGGAAAAATAAATGTTAGTATTTCAGAAAGTGTATACAGTTTTTAAAGCGGTGTATTAGTTACCTATATTGCTCTGTGACAAATTACCCCACATCTTTGTGATTTAATCCACCGTTTACTGCCTCACAGCTTCTCTGGGTCAGGAATCTGAGCACAGTTTACCTGGGTCTCTACTCTAGAACTTCTCACATATTGCAGTTAAGGTGTTGACTGAGACTTCAGTCATCTCTGGGGAGGGATCAGCTTCTAAGCTTACTGCCACGGTTATCAACAGAACTCAGTTCCCTTGCCCTGTGGAGCTCTCCCACATGGTGGTTTGCTTAATCAGAGTATGCAAATGGAGAAGACAACAGATATTGAGTGGGGACAAGATAAAAGTCACAGATCAGTCATCTAATCTTAAAATGACACCTCATCATCTTGCCATATTCTTTTGGTTAGGAGCAAATCACTAGGGGTAGCCTGCGTTGAAAGAGAGAGGGTTGCCCAAGGGTCTGAACACAAGAGGAGAGGATCACTGGAACCATGGTAGACACTGCCTATCACAGTTTTCTATCTGCAATTAGTCATAAGGGAGAAGTATATCAGAATATTTTTATTAACTGCTGTTTAATATTAGTAAAGTCATTAATATTTTAAATCGTTTGTTAAGACTGAGTTAGATACGCTTTTCTAAAATGAATAAATTGTATCAGTTCAGTTCAGTCACTCAGTCACATCTGACTCTTTGCAACCCCATGAATTGCAGCACGCCAGGCCTCCCTGTCCATCACCAGCTCCCGAAGTTTACTCAGACTCATGCCCATCGAGTCAGTGATGCCATCCAGTCATCTCATCCTCTGTCGTCCCCTTCTCCTCCTGCCCCCAGTCCCTCCCATCATCAGGGTCTTTTCCAATGAGTCAGCTCTTCGCATGAGGTGGCCAAAGTACTGGAGTTTCAGCTTCAGCATCAGTCCTTCCAGTGAACACCCAGGACTGATCTCCTTGAGGATGGACTGGTTGGATCTCCTTGCAGTCCAAGGGACTCTCAAAGTCTGCTCCAACACCTCCAATTCCAACAGTTGAAAAGCATGAATTCTTCTGCGCTCAGCTTTCTTTATAGTCCAACTCTCACATCCATACATGACCACTGGAAAAACCATAGCCTTGACTAGACGAACCTTTGTTGGCAAAGTAATGTCTCTGCTTTTTAATCTGCTGTCTAGGTTGGTCATAACTTTCCTTCCAAGGAGTAAGCGTCTCTTAATTTCATGGCTGCAATCACCATCTGCAGTGGTTTTGGAGCCTGGAAAAAAAAAGTCTGACACTGTTTCCACTATTTCCCCATCTATTTGCCATGAAGTGATGGGACCAGATGCCACGATCTTAGTTTTCTGAATGTTGAGCTTTAAGCCAACTTTTTCACTCTCCTCTTTCACTTTCAACAAGTGGCTCTTTAGTTGCTCTTCACTTTCTGCCATAAGGGTGGTGTCATCTGCATATCTGAGGTTACTGATATTTCTCCCGGCAATCTTGATTCCAGCTTATGCTTCTTCCAGCCCAGCGTTTCTCATGATGTACTCTGCATATAAGTTAAATAAGCAGGGTGACAATATACAGCCTTGACGTACTCCTTTTCCTATTTGGAACCAGTCTGTTGTTCCATGTGCAGTTCTAACTTGCTTCCTGACCTGCATACAGATTTCTCAAGAGGCATATCAGGTGGTCTGGTATTCCCAGCTCTTTCAGAACTTTCCACAGTTTATTGTGATCCACACAAAGGCTTTGGCATAGTCAATAAAGCAGAAGTAGATGTTTTTCTGGAACTCTCTTGCTTTTTCAATGATCCAGCGGATGTTGGCAATTTGATCTCTGGTTCCTCTGCCTTTTCTAAAACCCGCTTGAACATCTGGAAGTTCACAGTTCATGTATTGCTGAAGCCTGGCTTGGAGAATTTTGAGCATTACTTTGCTAGCGTGTGAGATGAGTGCTAATCGTCTGTTAGTTTGAGCATTCTTTGGCATTGCCTTGCTTTGGGATTGGAATGAAAACTGACCTTTTCCAGTCCTGTGGCCACTGCTGAGTTTTCCAAATTTGCTGACATATTGAGTGCAGCACTTTCACAGCATCATCTTTCAGGATTTGAAATAGCTCAACTGGAATTCCATCACCTCCACTGGCTTTGTTCATAGTGAAACTTCCTAAGGCCCACTTGACTTCACATTCCAGGATGTCTGGCTCTAGGTGAGTGATCACACCATCGTGTTTATCTGAGTCATGAAGATCTTTTTTGTACAGTTATTCTCTTTATTCTTGCCACCTCTTCTTAATATCTTCTGCTTCTATTAGGTCCATACCATTTCTGTCCTTTATTGAGCCCATCTTTGCATGAAATGTTCCCTTGGTATCTCTAATTTTGTTGAAGAGATCTCTAGTCTTTCCCATTCTGTTGTTTTCCTCTATTTCTTTGCATTGATCGCTGAGGAAGGCTTTCTTATCTCTCCTGGATATTCTTTGGAACTCTGCATTCAAATGGGTATATCTTTCCTTTTCTCCTCTGCTTTTTGCTTATCTTCTTTTCACAGCTATTTGTAAGGCCTCCTCAGACAGCCATTTTGCTTTTTTGCATTTCTTTTTCTTGGGGATGGTCTTGATCCCTGTCTCCTATACAACAGTCATGAACCTCCATCCATAGTTCATCAGGCATTCTGTCTATCAGATCTAGTCCCTTAAATCTATTTCTCACTTCCACTGTATAATCATAAGGAATTTGATCTAGTGGTTTTCCCCACTTTCTTCAAGTTAAATCTGAATTTGGCAATAAGGAGTTCATGATCTGAGCCACAGTCAGCTCCTTGTCTTGTTTTTGCTGACTATACAGAGCTTTTCCATTTTTGGCTGCAAAGAATATAATCAGTCTGATTTTGGTGTTGGCCATCTGGTGATGTCCATGTGTAGAGTCTTCTCTTGTGTTGTTGCAAGAGGGTGTTTGCTATGACCAGTGCATTCTCTTGGCAAAACTCTATAATTCATCCTGTTAGGTAGTTATTATTAACCTCATTCTAATACAGTACTTCTCAGCATTGTGTGAAGAAGGAGCTATTGAAAAAGAGAGTATGAGATAAAATGACAATATTGTAAAAAGCAGTTTAGAGTTGATTTTTTAATCCCCTAACTATGTAATTAATGTATATAAAAATTACCATAAAATAGTATTGTTTGCACCTTTGAATGGCATTATTTTTTGGGCTCCAGAATCACTGCAGATGGTGACTGCAGCCATGAAATTAAAAGACGCTTACTCCTTGGAAGGAAAGTTATGGCCAACCTAAATAGCATATTAAAAAGCAGAGACATTACTTTGCCAACAAAGGTCCGTCTGGTCAAGGCTATGGTTTTTCCAGTGGTCATGTATGGATGTGAGAGTTGGACGGTGAAGAAAGCTGAGTGCTGAAAAATTGATGCTTTTGAACTGTGGTGTTGGAGAAGACTCTTGAGGGTCCCTTGGACTGCAAGGAGATCCAACCAGTCCATTCTAAAGGAGATCAGTCCTGGGTGTTTATTGGAAGGACTGATATTAAAGCTGAAACTCCAATACTTTCGCTACCTCATGCAAAGAGTTGACTCGTTGGAAAAGACCCTGATGATGGGAGGGATTGGGGGCAGGAGGAGAAGGGGAAGACAGAGGATGAGATGGCTGGATGGCATCACCGACTTGATGGACATGAGTTTGAGCAAACTCTGGGAGTTGGTGATGGACAGGGAGGCCTGGCGTGCTGCGATTCATGGTGTCGCAGAGAGTCAGACACCACTGAGCGACTGAACTGAACAGATGGCACTATACAAAAAAAAAAGCTAAAGAAGCAATTTGTTTGGAAAATGGTTGGTGGTGCTTAATGCCGAACACTCTGGAAGTTGTCTTAGTCCATTTTCATCACTGGTGGAAAAAAATAAGAATTCTAGATTTTTTGCACTAAAAGGTATGTGTGTGTATATAAATTTGTACACATTATTGTTGATTGCAGGGCGATTCATGATGTTAAAGCCACAGACCTGGGCTTAGGGAAAGTGAGATTTAAGGCAGAAGTAGATTTTGATGGACGAGTTGTTACGAGATCGTATTTGGAAAAACAAGATTTTGACCAAATGCTACAAGTAAGTTTATGTATTTATTGATTTTTTTCTTAATATAGCCAAGGGTTGAAGAGTTACTTCCTGAATAAATAAAATAAAAGCTTTTCTTTGTAAGTCTTAAAGTCACTTCAGGTTTCAGCTTCTTAGGGCTCTAAAATTTGACGAAGACCTTTTTATTTACTGTAAGAGTGATTCAAAGGAGACAGCTAAAAGGTAATTTATTACTGAAGTGCTTGTTAGTGCCAAACATTGTATATATGTTATTTTATTTACTCTCAACAACCTGTGAGGTAAAGAAATAATACTTTCGTTTTTGTTTTGTTTGTTTTTAATAATTATTTATTTAATTTCGGCTGTGCTGGGTCTTCGTTGCTCCGGGGGCTCTCCTCTCGCTGCAGCGTCAGGGTCTCCGCCCTCGTGGCGGTGGCTTCTCTCGTGGAGCACGGGCTCTAAGGTGTGTGTTCCTCGCTGGTGCAGCACGTGGCTCAGCCTCTGCAGCTCCTGGGCTCCAGCGCACAGGCTGAATGGCTGTGGCCCAGCGGCCTGGTTGCTCTGCGTCGTGTGGGACCCTCCTGGACCAGGGATCAAACCCACGTCTCCTGCTTTGGCAGGCAGGTTCTTTACCACTGAGCCACGAAGGAAGCCCTTTAATTTTTATATACAGGCAAATTCAGGCACAGAAGGATTAGATCATTTGCCTGAATTTCAAAGCCATGATATGGAATCAGATGGTAATTTAGATTTCTGTAACTCCAGAATCCGTGCTTTTTTATTAAGAGTTCTTTAAAAGAAGATGAACAGAGGAGAGTTCATCTAACGACTGGAGCAGAGGGTCCCACCTGCCTTTGTCTAATGCTGACATTTACCGTGTGCTGTATTTGCCTAAGGTCTCAAAAGGAAATCATTACAAAAATAGTTATAACCCTTGTTTCTCCTCCTAGAGCCCATTCTCTTTTTCCCATCCCAAGAACTAACAGTTATCTTGAATTTAGTACTTGTCATTTCCATTCAGATTTTTATACTTTTCAACACATTTTTCTTAGTGCAAGATATAATAATACTTCAGGCATTTAAAAATTGTTATAAATTGTACAATATGGTTTTCTGTATAATTTGTTTAGCAGTGTGTTTTATGTTAATATATACCCTAATTAATTTACTTTTACTTTGTATATAATATTTCATCTTATGAATGAACATACTGCAGTTTATTTATCCAGTCCCCATTTGATGAACAGTTATATTGGCCCCAGTGTTAAACTATTGGAAACAACACCACGATGGCATTTTTATACATGTTTCCTTGTTTGCATGTGCAAAAATTTAGGGCACATATGCAAGAAATTTATGGCATTATTACATAGCTCTATTTAAAATAGGTGAGCCACTGGCTGAACATATCTTCAGCTTCCTTAGATGTTGACAAATTGTTCTCCAGAGTATGTCAGTTTAACTTCCATCATTAATGTATCAAAGTTTCTCTTGCTTCACATTTTCACTAGACTGTATTGACAGTTTTAAAACTTTTGTCATTATGATAGATATAAAATACTATCCTGTTGATTCAGTTGATATTTCCCTGATAGTAGTAAGGATAATAAGCATAGAAATTTATTGACCATTGGCATTTCCTCTACTTACTTCTTTGTTCATTTGCTTTCTCTTATTTATTTTGACACATTTGTAAATGTTTTATTTTTAATATGCTGAGTACTAATCATCCCTCAGTTACATATATGCAGATAACTTCCTAGTTAGTAATTTATCATTCCACTTTGTTGTTTTACAGAAGATTTAATGCAGTTTTAAATTTTACGTCAAATTTGAAATGCTTTTTATTATCTTGATTGAGAAACCCTTCTGTATCCCATTATCATAAAATATTCTTTTTTTTCTTCTAAAAATTTTATGGTTTGCTTTTATACCTTTGGTTTTCAGTCCACTTGGAATTATTTATTAGTCTAAGGTAGGGATTTAGTTTTTTTTCTTAATAAAAAATAATTTTCTCAGCACTACTTACTGATTTGTCCATTCTTTTCCCACTGATTTTGCAATGCTACCTCTGTGGGGCGTTATACTCAATTTTTTCTGAAATTGCTTATTTTTTTTTTTTTAGAAAATAGGTGGTCCATTCATTGCTTATGACTTGAAAGTTTTCCATATTTCATAAAACTCAATGTTATTTGTTATAATTTTTTAAAGAAATTATCAATGTATGAGTATGCTTTTTTTTAAAGAATTTATTATTTTTTTATGCTATCATTTTCTTTTATAGGAAATTCAAGAAGTGAAGACTCCTGAAGATCTAGAGACCTTCATGCTTAAACATGGAGAAAACATTATTGATACTTTAGGAGCTGAAGTAGACAGACTTGAGAAGGAGCTGAAAGTAAGATATAAATCGTAACATGCTGGCAACGTCGCCTGTTCTTTGAATATTCATCTGTGTCAGGCACTCTGCTAATCGCGTTACTTGTCTGCTTTTACCTTCTCAGTAACCTCACAGTGTATCGGTAGTTACGTCAGCAAGACGACCAGGTTAGAGAAGTTATGTAATACACTCAAGGAAACAGGGGACTTGGGATTTGAACCTTTATTATTTAATTTAAGATTCAGTATTTTTAACCCCTGTTCTGTGCTGCTTGCTTAGTTTCTAAAATGGAGGTTTGTTTGTCTTTAGGTAAGATGTGGTCTCTAGTATTTCTAGAGAAAGGTAAAGGGCAAACCTTAGATTCTGTTGAAAAGTAAAAAAACAAAAGAGCTTGCCAGAGAGAGACAGAGACAGAGAGAGAGACAGAGACAGAGAGAGAGAGAGACAGAGAGACAGAGAGAGAGACCAGACTGGGGTGTGTGCAGCAGGGTCTGGCCTGCGCTTCATTTTTCACCGTAGCCTTTATGCCCTAAGTTGGTACATTTCTAAGGGGAGATAACCGCAGACTGAGTTTAACAGCATCAGCTTGTCCTTCAGGAAGCCAGGTGTGCTCTGTACACGTTTGTTTATGAGTCTCTCCCACAGACTTTTGTACATGGTCTCCTGGCCTGAGCTCAGCAGAAAGCGGAGAAGCGCAGTCTCAGGGCACAGCGGGTTGCAACATAGTAGAAACACAGCCCTGTTAGCACAGAAGTCAGTCCTTTTGCAGAAGTTACCAGCTAAATGTGTCTAAAAGTTTAGCACACAAAGACTCTGCAGCTCTGGTGAGGCAGCCTCTGTTTTAGCACTCCTGGTTAAAATGAACAGTGATCTTATTGTTTTTACACTAGGGCTAAACTCTTATTTTTCTAAAGCCTTATGTAACCACTTTTAGAAGAATATTTTTGTGTTCTCTAATAGGGCTTCCTCACCCCCTGGAGGGCTCTGTGCCTACTAGGGCCTTTTTTATGGTTAATCTCTGTGTATGATATCTTTTGCCCTTCAGGCCTGTTGACATTTTATGGCTTGCACCTGGTGTAACTTTAAGCAACTTCAGTAGCCGACCCTGTCTTTCTTGTGGTTAATCTATTTTTTTTCTATTAGGCGTCATCTCCATGGGAACTAGATAGGAT